AATAAATAAAATTCAAGTTTAAATGCACTTTATGACATAATTTTTAAATTGTCACTATTAATATTTTTTACTGAATAACCTGCAAAGTTAATTCTACAATTTCTGAAAAATCACCTAAAAGTAACCTTTTCATTAGTGTAACCTAAAAGTAACCACAGCAGTTCAAAAGTAACCAAAAAGGTTACAAAAGTAACCTTCTGGCAACACTGGCGCGCGCGCTTATGGCGCGTCCCATAATGCCCAGGGATGCTAACGATATGAAACATTTCTTAGGACTATAGATTTAATTAAGTTAATTACAATTCCAATTCCCAATGAGGAGGTATCTAGAAACGGCTGTGATACTTCTGTTGTTTAAACTAGTTTCAATTTCTTTCATAGATTATTTTCTATGATTGGTCTAAAACACTGTAATTAATTTAATTAAAAGCCTCAATCTTTGCTTTTTGAATCAAATTTTAAGCTTCATTCTTTAATTTGGACCTTTGCTTTGGGCTGACAAGCAAAACAAGTAATTTAAGCGTTAACGATTGGTTACATTTTGAGTAACTCTGATTTATGTCAAAAAATACCCGCTTAAAATTGCTATATAAGGTAATATTTTGGTCACGATTGAAGTCAGGGACGCCTTCATAATAAATTACTCTTAAAGTGGCTATAACTTTCTCTTTCGCGACAACCCTAACGTCAGGACGCGGCCCCGAGCCTGACCCGCGGTAACGGGACGCACTTGACTTTCAGAGCTCTTGCCTGTTGCTCCATCATGAGTGCTAGTTAAATTCCAATGAGGTCCTTCTGTAATAGATTAAGGGTGCGTGGAATTCAGGTGAATTGTGGTAGGAACTCTGTTTTGTAGGTCAGACAGATCAGATATACTGAAGATCAGAAAGACAGAATTTCAGGCCTGAAGTCTGACATTACAGCAACGGGCTTACATATATTCCTTTCCTCTTACTTCATCTGTAGATATTCTAAATGAAAGCTAATACCTCTTTTGATAAGGTAAATATTTAAATAAATCTAACCTGGGGATACATACGTACCTAAATCGGACAGGGAGATAGAAGATCTGATTTATTCCACTCTGGTTATTATCAGTATGGGTTCTCTAGCTATCGGCTGATCCGGCTTTCAGATTGACTTTCAGAGCTTATACCTTTAGCTTCTACTGTGTATATGCTTATAAAATACACTATGAAGGAGCAATGATGACTAAACATACTCGCACTCATATTTTAAGCACAGTGTAATATTATAAATCAGACGGAGAAATAGACGTTAGATACAGCAAAAAGATAAATAATGCACTTTAATAAAAAAAAATTGAATACGAAAAAGGTCAGCTGCAATGGATGTTATAAAAAAAGTATTAGTTTTTGTGCTATTAAGTTAGCTTTTTATGAAACCTTAATATTTCTTATTGCGAAGGATTGGCGCGTGCTGCGGTCTCGCCACGCTGTGTTTGCATACCTTCTCAATTTACAACAATAGCTTTAGATACAATGAAAATTAAACATTTTTCTTCTGGTCGTATTTCAATTAAAGATTAGTAACAAATATTTTTAAGAGGCGAATTTTATTGTAATATCATTTATTTCATGTTACAATAACAACCAAGAACAATGATAATTGCGACCACAAACACAACCAATTTATGTGGGAATCTTGAATTAATAAAAAGTATTGTTTATTTACTTAATTTGGCATTTGCGAAGTACAGTAGGTACCTACTACATTACGTCTTACCAAGTAGGAATTATTTATGGGAAATAATAACAATAATAATAAAGTTCCCGTGAATGGACGATAATAAATATTTATGCAGAATCGACAATAGCAAGCAATTGGGATATCGAATGCACATCGGCCGATATGTAAGTAACGTCACGATCTGACCCCGAGTATGTTTTACAAAGCTTAATACTAAAACGATCGTGAGGATAATCATATTCAGATATATCGGAGATAAAATCTGCAAGTTCATTTTGCTTGCTTTATTGTTAGCGACTGACCGAAATGCGAGGTCGAAATGGATGGAATAAACGCAAAATACAAAAATAACCATTGGTAGGTCAATCTACTGTTATTATTCACAGTTTCCTAAACATATCTATTTATCTATAAAGTTCTATAAACTAAGATTTATATACGATTTTTTATGACCTACTACTCACATACTTACGGAGGATAAGCAAGATTCTATGTACCTATGAAGTCGACAGGGATCAAGCTAGCGAGCTTCAAACGACTACGAAATCTAGGTAATCGGTACCTAGACTTCGTAAAAACCGGGCTAAGTATTATCGCCTTAACAACTTGAGTTCTAACATATCAACTTTAAAGTATTGATAGAACTCCCTACAGTCAATGGCTGCAGAATCCAAAATTTTCATTGACAAATTTGACAATGCTAGTTTCCTAAGCTCGATGCGAATATCGTCACGTCGGTATTGTTTCATTGAAACAATGACGATTTATCTGTTGCATTGCATAATAATTGTGGCGATCTACGCAATAGGTCAGCTGTCGATTTGCCAATGATAATTATTATTATGTTTTATTTTTTTAACAAAGGTGATAAGCTCGTAGATAAGAATATTATGAAAGGAACTAGCTTACTTCTTAATGATTTTACTCTCTTAATTTTAGATTGATCGATAACATCCTGACTCTACATTTGCAATTTTTTAACAAATTACATTTTCAGTTTAGCGCTACTTTAATTAGTTTTATTTTTGGTGTTTATTTATATTTTAAGCATAAAAGAGACTACTGCGTTTACTCAGTTGAAGGTAATTTTCAATGTTCCTTTTGCGTAATATTTTGGTTCAATACAACTCTGGGGAATAAAGCAAAATTGCAATATTTGGTTCAAACCAACCTCTTTGAGGTAAATACACACAAACGGAATCGTATTACGGATTCGGTGAATGGAGTTCCCGTGGCGGATACGACAAAGCACAATGCGATTTGTTGGATATCAATAGAAAAATGAGAACTTGGGTTTGTAATTTCACTGTATAGACGAGAAATATACAGTAAACGAATAGTGGGCAAAGTTTCTTTTGTCGTGAAGCCTTTGGACTAGTTAGAAAGCATGCTAGCTTTGTGTTCGATCGCTTCCAAATAATTTCGCCATTTCTACTGACTTAGTACAGTGGTATTGCGAGGAACATCACTCATCGTGATTCACAATGATGACCACGACCACTCTGACAAGAGTGTACCGACTGAGAAGAAGAAGAAGTACAGTGGTAGAGTCGTATATATATGTATTTTTTGAAGAAACTACACTGCTCATTGATTAGTTGGCAAATCATAAGACTCTACTTTTTGAGCTAGGTATTTGGCGATTTTCGTATAGCTGAGGCCATACTTATTGTAATACTTATTATGTAGAGGTAGGCAGATTGTACCATCTAAGTACTTACTCTTTCGAAGTAGGTACAACCTGGCATATCTATTTAAAGCTGCTGGCCTTCCCTGGATACCTTCGAAGATTGCCTGTCCGATAAGATTGTCCGATCGATCTCGCCCTTAAGCAGCGTAAAGTCGGTCGCCTGGCCAGGATCGGAGGCTGCGCCGGTGACCTATGATATCAGGGGCCTTTTAAGGGCCGGCGCCGCGGCGTGTCGCAACATACAAGCTCACTTGCATACGACATTAAGGTCGTCGCAGAGGCCAATTAGTCGCTTTCGTTCGCTGTCTGAAAACTAGGTTTCAAGATATTTTATTACTAGCTACCACGAAGGAGGCTGTAAGCGGAACGCGACCTTTGCCGACCGTTTTGGGCAAAAAATGCGTTGTATGTGTGATATAATGAACAATATTTATTGAACTTGCATTTTATTGCTTTTTTATGACCGTGTTTTTGACACAATTGTAAATATAAACATGAATTGAGATAGTTGTTATGTTGTTACATCAAATGAAGCCTACAATTCAAATGAGGATGACGAGCGTCTCCTCAATCTTTCAATCAATTATTGTAAATTGCTATCATTCGAAATTAGCACACAACCTGCCTGATCTCTATACGTCAATCACAATCAAGCATTTTGGATCTTTGCACATCAATTCATCAGCATTGAAGGTTCATTGTGTTCGCAAATGTCAAGCGATACATTGCTTGAATACAAAAACTTTACCTACACTTATTTTTAACTGCAGGTTATTGTAGAATAAGTCAGAAGGTTTTTCTGGGAAAAAACACTTAGGCCGAGTTGCACCACCTAACTTTAACAGTAACTATAACCATAACCGGTGCTTTTTGTACGGAGTTTGACAGATTTTTGACATTTGTCACAGTTAAAATAAGATGGTGCAACCCACCCTTAGTTATCTTGCTAACACAAAGAAAGAAATCATTCTTATTTTGGAAATCGCCTACTTCACCTACGACCAGTGTTCTACAAGATTTTTATAGCGCATTGGAAAATCCCAATATAAATACGAAAACAAAGTTATCTCTGTTTATATCAAAGACAGACGTGTCAAATCACCTCCAGATTATTAATTATGTAATAAATATTTGTAGAATTATTGCACGTATGTTTCAAGGACTGATAAACTCATTTGGTAAGCGCATCGTGTCAAATCGGGACTCGCCTGCATGATAATGGATAATCGAATGGAAAAGCTCGCCAATAACTTTTAGTAACATAACATTATTGTTTAAGTGTGCATTACGAGGATAAAAAATAAAAATAAAGCATTTACTGATTGAATTTTTGTTAGTTTTCGCTCCGCCTAGAGAACTTAGACGTCTATTACGTCGGTATAGAAAATTCGTAAAAGATCGCAAGTTACTTGAAAATAAGTAAAACTATGTAAAAATGAAATGTTACTCAGCATTTTAAGCAAAGGCATGCCTTTTAAAATTTTTATTAAAACACTTCCTCCTACAAAATCCCATTTAATTTTAAATGTAAATCTTATGGAAAGGTTTACACTACTGAAAATTAAATTTTATTAACTGAATGTAATTTCTTTGTTTTCAGTTGGAAAACGTGCAATGCTGTTTGGACTTTCTCCACGCGCAGAAGGTCCAGGGATTAGAACAAGTAACAGCTGTGGACATAAGAGACGCAAAACTCAAAGCAGTTCTTGCATTGTTTTTCGCGCTTAGCCGCCACAAGCAGGCCGCGAAGCAGCGCACAACGCCATCTAGCGGCAATGTTGCGAACACAACCAAGAACTCAAGCGAGGATATTGCGTTGAGTTCCGTGCAGCGCATCACAGGTGGCAGCAGCTGCGATGAGATTCTAACTGCGTGCGGAAACAACGTCGAAATGACAACTTTAACAGCAAATAGGTAAGTTTTATGATTAATTAATTTATTTATTTCTAATTCTACATAGACGTAATATAATTTTCATAAGTATGCACATGGCACACGCACTTTACATTTCCGGTACAGCGCCATCTATACGTGGATGGAGTATCTGCAATGTTTCTATAACAACAATCAGGTTCCGCCATTCGCCACTAGGGTGCGGTGTAGCTGTAACGCATTGTGTTTAAACGTCTAAAAGTGCGGTTTACTGGTGGACTTGTGATTTGTGGTTCTTGAAAACTATAAACAATATTTTACTATAACATTCCATTCTTGCCCTCCTGCAATGAAATTAGCATAATATTTTACAGGCCAGTCGAATAGAAATAATCCAATAAAATTGTTAACCTTAAATTCAACCGATTATTTAAACTTGTTATAGGTAGCTTTGTGTCAATGAGGGCTATCGTTTTAGCGCTCACCAGTTAGCGCCACTGTACAGTAAGGTCCTGTCACTTGCTAGTAGCGAAGACAGTGGCACCAACTGGTGAGCGCTAAAGTGGTAGGAGGACTATCGCATTTGCACTCATCAAGATGGCGCCACTGTAGAGTAAGGTCCTGTCAATCGCCAGGGGTGCCAACTGTTAAGTATAAAAACGATAGCCCTCAGTGATCATGAATAAACAAAAAAATAAAATTTAACAAAAGGCTGGGCATAATTATAACTTCTTTTTCGGATAGCTTTATTTTCATCCGTAAATAAAAATAATAATTTGTTGAAAGCCGTTAGTTTTAAAATTCATTATGTAGAGCATTTGAGATCACATAGTGTAAGTATAGTTAGATTTTGCTATTTATTATTAACCATGTCGTAAATACGTGTCACAAAGTTTATCAATAAGCTCTTTACACCAGACGTGTAAAGCAGAACCGAACGCATGCGATATTATTATTTAACTTAATTTTATTCACAATAAATGTAAAACAAGTTTAAAGTCAGGCTGCAGCAATTTCTCAACGAGACGTAACGAGTAGTTGAGCACGCACTCACCATAGGGTTGGCATAAAACTACAAATAATCTTGTTTCCATTATTATTTTAATATATTTCTTTTCTATTTTGTTTGGGGGCTTTGAACTGTTGAACAATAATGCCAGCCACGTCGTATTTGACATTTACAGATTTAATCATAAATCACCTTAAATAAAAAGCTAGCGTAAATTAAATTCTTAAAACTGATTCAGTTAAGGGTTACTGTTTTAATTATTCTAGTATTTTTCTAATTAATCACAAGTTTTCGAACAGACTTTACGCAATAGTTTTTTGTAATTAACTTTGGACATTTTTTATTAAGCTGTTTATATTGACAACCCTAAATTGATTTCAGTGACCGCTTAAAAATAAAACAGTTCCGACACCGACTATATTCCTCCTTAAGATCTATAACTGGTCTAAAATTATAACGCGCCCGATCCAATGCGTACAAATTGGGATTTTCGATAAGTCAGTATGACCACGGTGAGATTTAATTATTAATGTTGGCATATTAACGCTTTGCTAATTATTAGTTTAATCGTTTTGTTGATCCTAGAATAGATTAACCAAAAGTTCGATAGTGATTTGGTAAAATTATGAAATTCTGAAAACAACATTTTTTAAACTTTTTAACCGTTATGTAATATAAGTTGTTTGTAATAATGGTATTTCTAGAATTGAACGACACAATTTATTGCACAACAATAGCGTTTCTTTAACCTGTAGACACAGGGTACAGCAGTGAAAAAGGTGCAAAACTAAATAAAAAAAAATGTCTTTATTTCTTTCTTTCATAATCCACTCTTTTTTGTGTGGTGCCAAAAGTAACATGATACTTTTCAGCGCTATTGCGTACGTAAAATAAGTCTTAATACTTTTCACCTTCTCCATAGAAATTATCTTTGGTAAATACACCTACCAATAAAATCAAGCTGACCAAATAAATTATTCTCCACGCGTAACAATCAACATTATTAATGAATAATGTGTCACGATCTCACGAAGTCTGAAGCAGTGTCTTTGATATTTAGCCCCTCGACTACAGAATCGGAAGATCGGAAATGCCTCCCGCGTCGTGGCGGCGGCGTTGGGCCGTAACTCGCCGTCTTGACACGCGACGGGTGCAATCGGTATAGCACATCTAAATCGGTACATCAAAGGTTAAAATAATGCTGGGACTGTAATAGGAAGTTAGGAAGATTGCGGTAAGCAAAATTTATAAGTATTTCCCGATGAAAAATGTGTAGTTGTCAGACGTATTTCTTGCAAAAACTACTTTAAGAAATGTTAGATTTATTTTAATTTTCATGATATTTTGGCAAGGTCTAATTTTTGTGAATTAAATAACACACGACACAAGATGGAACCTAATTTTTAAAGTTTTCTATTAAATAGCAAGCAAGACAATTAATGAAAATACGAAAAACCACCAAACTCAAATATTTTGTTTAAATTATAATAATTGCTTATTTACCGGTATAATTCCAATAGGATTGATAACCAGCAGCACTATTCTTACTCTAAAGCTGCCCAGTGACACGTCTATTTCCGTCACTAGCGCCCTCTATTGGCGAGTTGCCGAGAAGCGCCGCAATTACCTCGTTTACTCATGTTCCACTTATGTTGGTAAACAAAGGACCAAACAGATATTATGATATCACTTTTCAGCTTTAAGTTACGTTTTTGTTTGTTTAGTTATCATTTTTAAGGTTAATTTTGTGTTAACGATTAGAGTTTTGGGTTTATTTCCAATTTTTATTACGGCTGGAAAGTTTGAGTTCAGTTCAAACTAGAAAACTTTACTGACAAGTAGGCACCTAATTGCCTGAAGTTTATAATTTTTTATGTACCTAGGGATTACTTATTTCTGATTAATAAATAAGCCAATTAGACATTTCCCAAAAGCTCTTTTGAACTTTTAAAAGTTAAGAGCAAAGTCATGTGACCCTAATAGGATCTCCAGGTGGTACCTTACGTTAGGTAGTGCCATCCATCATGTTTTTAAAACTTTAGTAAAGAGGTAGGTATTCGTAAATTCAAGGATAATCCAGACAATAAAATCTAATTGGCCATAAAGCCATATTCTCCAGAACAAGAGCACCAATAACTACCATTCATGCTCTGTCCACTTCTGACATCACAGGCCACGGGCAAGTTCCCTCCAAGTCCCAGTGGCACTTAACATCACTCAACCCTTCGAGTCCGGTCAATGCTTCCCTGATTGCGCACAATGCGAGGATGTCACGTCACTACCGAACCTCGCTCACGACAAAAGACTAACAAGCCATTGTCTGACATTTGTCGCCGTGGTTGAATGAGCCGGCACGTGCGTAGGTAGCTGCTTAAACAAAAAAACTTTACGGGTTACTATTGTAATGCCGTTGTTTTGACTAGAATGGTACTTACTTTTAACCCTAAATTGGGTCATTTTTTCTGACGGCTGAACACAAAATAGAGTGCAGCTGAACATTGGGCGTTACGTGTGTGGCGTTGCATACGGGTGACGGAAACACCTACCTATTTTATCGTCAAGGTTCATATATTCGGAGATAATGAATAATGCAGGTAATTTAGGTTGAATGCAGTATAATTATTCTACGAGTAACTTTAAAATTTTAAATTAGTCTGAACTGAACGACGCTTAGGTGGCCAAACTGCTCAATCCTATAAACAATCATTCCAAAACGTCTCGCGAAACAGGCTTTGCGATAAAAAGTGAAGACTTGGTTTATAATTCCGATTACCTTAGGTGAACAACCGGGCTCGCGAAACACAATGCGTCCACTTTCCTTACAGGGACGGGCCTTGTAGGGCCCGCCGCAATGTGGTCCCGATCACTTGGGAGATAATTAAAATTATACCTAAATACACGTAAGTGTATGGAGGGGCACAGTGCGCACACTTATGTGAACGTTGCATAATCCGCGGGAGACTCGTATCAGAACAAGTAAAACAAACAACTTTACAACAAGCTAAGTAGACGGCAACGGCATTGCATTTGTTTAGGAGCTTATTTAGACTTCAAGACAATAGAATAGTAAAATAGTTGTAGGTTAGAAGAATTAGAACATAAAGAGCATAATTTGGAATAGCATTTTCATGTTCAAAATGACACTACAAAAGGCTACAGCATAAAACGATTGCTCATTGTTCTCTTGGTCTGTGAAAAAAAGTTATTCATATCACATTATTGCATCTAATTCATTCATATCGATAACCAATAATATCTAGTAAAGAAGAAAAACTCATGTGACTCTACTATTGAAAATTTCGGAACATCCCGGGATTCAAGACAAGGTAGGAGTAACATTTTTAATGAAATTCTTAGACACGAAAGCCGTTAAATTTTTCGTAACCAAAATCTAATCCTCTCTTGGGGTGTCGAGTTACTTTCTAAGGGTGCTAATGGCCAATTAGGGAAGTGGGGGTGACAACCACCAGTAACAGTACCCGTCTGCTGCCTCCGCATAAACTAACCACGGATTAGTTAGGCTTATCTGCAGTTTGAACGGTAGTTAACAGTTAACAAAATTATGTACATAACAATCAGTTGGAAAGGAAAGGGTATAAGAATAAATTAAAATTGATATAGTTATTTTATTTATAGTTCCATCAGCAAAGCAAGTGCGTCTGTAAGTCTAAATTAAACGACATTCAAAACTCTATTATCTGTTCCGAGTACAGATTCACCAGTCACAGTATTAAATCTCTACTTGTGTTTACGTCAGCGTCATTTACAATACGAGCGTTATATGTACCTAATAAGTAATTATTTTGTCTGTGATATTGTGAAAATGCTTATTTATTTTGCCTTTCTTTCCTTTATTTGCCATTCTGTTTGAAGGAGGGAACGAAATGTAAAAAATAAGAAGAGCTTCTTAAAGCCCCTCTCACCATGTTTATTTAGATGACGATGAACTCGGAAGCGGCTATCTATGCTGTCAACAAGTTTAACGAATCCGGCTGACAAAAAATGCAGATAAAGATTTTGAAGACGTAGGTGT